TCCCGGGGCGCTTTTTAGCAAAAAATATTTATTTATAAAAAAAATTCTGGGGGAAAAAAGGGCTTTTTTTTATAATCATTTTAAAAATAGATTTTTTAAAATCAAAAATTTAAATTTTAAACCTATTATCTCTGTGGGGAACTTTCTTTTTAAAAAATCAATTTCCAGTGGTTTTCGTTCTTTTTAGGGGTTTTATAAAAAATATATTGAAAGATTTTTTTTTTTTGCATAATGCAAAAGTAATAAGTTTGACAGAATACATTCGCCTTTTTGTCTAAAAGTTTAAAAAAATTTATTAAAAAAACTGACAATTTACTTTCATTTTTTTGGGCAACAAAAAAACCCGGAATTTTCTGAATTTACCGAAAAACAAACAGAAAAAAAAATGAAATTTTAAATTTTTTAATGGGTAAAACTGTTTTTATGGGGTTTATTAAAAATTTTTAAAATTTTATTTGTTAAATTTGCTTAAATGTTCCCCGGGGTTTTTGAAAAAAAAACTAATAGGGTAATTTTAATCTGAAATCCGCTTTTTACCTTTTAGGCAAAAAATTTAAACTTTTAAACTTTGGGTTTTTTTTTTTTTTTTTTTTTTCTTTTTATGGAATAAATTATCTAAGTTTAAAATTTTTTTTGTTATAATCGAAATTGAACGCTTCCGTAAATTTAAAGATTTCAAATTTTTTATAAGGGAAACATTGTAAAGCGGTTTATATACACAAAATTTACAATCCCCGTTTTACGTACATCCCGGTTTAAAGGAAGTAACTCTTTTTGACGCTTAAACGTTTAAAAGAAAGGGTCTATAGTTTACAAATTTATAATCCACTGCGGTTTAAAAAGTAAAAACCGGGGAAGGTTTTTTGAATTTTAATAGAAATTTTTTTTTATTTACCAAATTTTAAAAAATTTTAATTTAATTTTTTCTTATTTAAAATCCAAATATGGGTTTGTCCCAAAATTTTATAAAAAGTGTGAAATTGAAAAAAAAACAGACCAAAAAAAGATACAAAAAATGGGGACCGAAATCCCGAAATTTTAAAATGTTTTCAGAGTTTGCAAAAACCCCAAATTTGTGTGCAGTTATTACATAAAGAATGACACATTTTGGGATCGGGAAAAAAGATATTTTTTTTTATAATTTTTCGTAGTTTTCGTTCATTTTAATTTTGGGTATAATGCAACCCGTTTTTTTGTTTTATTTCAAATATTTCAGATTTTAGTGTTTTTGGGCCCCTTTTCCCAACGGGGAAAAACAAAGTTTAATTTCCCCTTTGATTAAAAATACACTATGGATGAAAAAAATTTACGTTAATGTGTCGGGGTGGGAAACAGGGACGGGGGGGGGGGTTTAGAACCTTTAAAAATTGACGAAAAAATTTTTCTTTAAAAAATTTGTCTAAAAGAATGGATAAAGGTGACCCACCGGGAATAAAAAAAAAAGAATAAAAAGATTTTTTTTAAGATTTATTTTTTTAAATTTTTTTTACCACAATTTTTTTTTTTTAAACTTTATTTTATTTTAAAATTTTTTTGGGTTTTGGGTTTCCAAGCTTTTTTTATTTTTAACTTTTTTTTTTTGCTTTTTAGCTTTTTTAAAAAAAAATTTTTTTTTTGGAATTAATTTTACCTTTTTTTTTAAAATTTTTTTAAATTTTTTTAAATTTTAAAACATTTTTCAATTTTTTTTGATCAATCGGGGGCAAAAAATTTAGTTTGGGACCATACCCTTTTTTAATTTTTTGTTAAAATTTTAAAATTTTTTCATTTACCAAATGGAAACGGGGGGACTCTCAAAAACCCTGCCCATAGTTTTCTTTTTTTTTTTTTCCCCCAAATTAATTTTTATTAAAATTTTTTTTGTTTAATTAAAAATTTTTTTCACCCGTTGTTTAAACATTTGTTTTTTTTTAAAATCACCTAAATTTTTTTTAAAGGCCCCCATTAAGCCCCAAAATTCCTGCCCAAATTAAAGGGGTACTGTCCACTTCAAACCCAAAAACAGACGGGGGGCAAAACCCCTTGGGAAAACCCCCTTGAGTCCCCTTTTTTAATGGGGGGGGGCCGAAAAAAGTTTTTCACCCCTTTAATACTTATTTCTCAAAAAAAACAGTGTTTTGGCCTAAAAGCCCCTTTTTTTAAACCTTTATAAGGCCAAAAAATTTATGGGGGGGAAAAACCCTCAAAACACGCCTTTTAAAAATGAAAAAAAGGTAAAAGGAAACTTATTCCTTTTTTTTTGCTTCTGTTTTCCCATTCTTTCATATTAAATCTATAAAATTAATTTTTTTCCCGGGTTTTTTTTAGCTGAAACCCGCGGCCATTCAACTTTAACTAAATTGAAAAGACTTTAAACAAATTTAAACTTTGGAGAGGGTTCCGGCTTTGCTAAGGGGGCGGGTACAAAATTTTTGACCGAAATTTACCTTTTATAAATTTTTTGGAAAAGGGTAGGAAGTGTTGGTATGTTTTTAAGAAAGAGTTTGAAACACGGGGCTTTTTGTTTTTGTAGAGGGACCCCGTATCTTTTTATCACATTTCAAACATAAAAACATGTCCCTGAGTCACATTTTGGGGCCCCTTGAAAAAAAAAAACGTTTGGCCGAGTTTTCGAATATGTTTAAAATTTTGTCGTTTTCCCTTTACCCTGCCGTTAAAATTGGAAATTCCCCAGAAAAAAATGAGAAATTTAAATGGAAATCCCCTTTGGAGTGCGGGTAATAATCCCTTGCACACCATTAAGGGCACGGGCGTGTTATTGTTGATTTTATCATTGAAACATTTACCACAAAAGGGGTCCCAATTTTTGATACAATAGATTATTGGCACACTTCTAAATACCGTCTAATTTTTTGAAAAAATTTAAAACCCAAGCATTTTTGCATTTTGGGATAAATTTTTTTTTACTTTTTAAAATAAAGATATGTGTTATTAAAAATTTGGGGGAAAAGGTTTAAATCCTTCTTTTAGAAAAGAGAATTTTTGAAAAAAACGGGAAAATTTGGGCTAGTTCGTTCAAACTGAGATTGTTTAAAGGGAGAAAGGAGTGAAAACCTGGACTATTGCGAGGGTTTTCCAGTAAGAAACCCCCAAATTCAAATATTCTTCACTATATTTGTAAATAATTTAAAAGTAAAATTAAAACAAAAAGGGAAATATTTAAGTTTAAAAATGTTTTTAAACTACTTGCATTTACCCCAAAAATTGAAAAAGCAAAAAATTTCGTTAATTTAAAAGGGCAATACTCGTGACAGGCACCGGGGCAATTCAAACGCCCCAACACTCGGTAAAACTGACATTGGTATTTATCTCAAAAATTTCCACTGTTTCTGATTTTTTCTATTGTAGATTAAAACTTTTTAACAAATAAACATTTTTAAATCATTGTCAAATTTCACTTCAAATTCATTTTTTTCTTCTTGGGAAGTTAATGAAAAAAAAACATCAAATTTGCTGTTTTCCGAGCTCATTTATCAGGTAAAACAAGGGAAGGGAATTTTTACCTCCAAATTTAACATTTCAAAAGAATTTTCTCAAATTTATTTTTTTTTCAGTAACTAGAAAAATTTTATCAAAGTATTTGTTTTTTCAAAAAAAATTTATAAAAAACCCAATTCAAAATGACTAAATATTGTCATTTAAACTTATTTTCTTTCACGTTCAATGACAAAATTAAAAAAACAAAATAAACAAACTACAACCCCTCAACTATTTAATTCTGAGGTATAAATTTTCAGTAGGTTTGGGGAAATAGGAGAAAACTTTTCTATATACTTCATAACATTGCGGTTTATCAAAATTGGGTTTATCATATTTTCAAATTTCCATTTCCCCGTGATTTTGTACACATACCAAAAAAAGGGAAAAAAATCGGTGTTTAAAATGCAATAAAAATGGTATTTTTATATGGGGGCTTTTATTTTTTAAACCCCCATTATTTTAGTTTACAAAGTTTTTTAAACCCAAAAATAAAAAAATTTTTAATTTATTTTTTTCAGTTCTTAAAATTTGTTTTCTTTTCATACAATACCGAAATAATATCTCACATACACTAACGCTACATATTTGATCCATATCAGTAAATAAATATTTTGACAAAACGGCGCCAATCCGTAAGCAGCGTAATGACGTCATCCTTAATAAACAACTCATTAAAAAACAAGCTGACGTTATTTCATACATACAGGAATGATAAATGGGGCACCGATGTAAACACAATACGACGTAAGTTTTTATCGTTGAAAACGTGATAGAATAACGTTTCATTCTTATTATTTATTTTGTTTAATAATTTCTATATCTATGCAACAGAAGGGTGCGAAAATCGAACAGCGTTATACGAAAATCGGCACCGGAAGTTATTTCCGCTTGAAAAAATAACATTAACTTGTGACCTTCCTTATTTTTTCGTGATAGAATCGAAATAACATCGGCCTGAGAGGTGTATATCGGCTATTTAACACCGGCTTTGTCGTTTTGATGCGAAAAAATTAACCACTCAGGCCTACGGCCTTCGTGGTCAATTCCTACGCATCAAAACTCCAAACCGGTGTTAAATAGCCGATATACATCTCTCAGGCCGATTTTATTTCTTAAACATAAATGAATATTTGAATAGGTTCTAGTCATTTCACGTGTTTCTACCTGTCTTAATGTAAAGTTTTCTTCGTATTGTATTTTATACCAATTTAAAAGTACTTTTTCATTTTAACTTTGTATAATCTTCGTACAAATCCATATTTCTTCCATTGCACAGTACGCATTGCCCCGAACAGGGGAAATGTTTTCAATAACAATTAAATATTTCACTGTCAATGAAAAAAAAACAACAACAAAAAAAAACAACACCAGTAAGTCATCTATATAGCAAGATTTTTGTGCTCAGCCCTTTTATAACGATTTTACCGCTAACAACGTCACGAAGATGGGAAACACATGATATGTACGGACTTACTTTCTATAAAAAGATGAAAAAAGTGATAAAACATAAGTTTATTGGTGAACTAGATATCCAGAGAACGTGTTCATACGCCAAGAATCTGCATATATATAATTGCTCATACAATCAGAAATGCAATCAACAAAAACTTTTGAATGTTCATGTAAAACAGCGACAGTATCTGTACTATCACATGTGTGCGCATCTTTATCATAAACATATAAGGTAGCATATGTTGTCCCATCTATCATGATAGCTGCGTAGACTTCTTTTGTGTATGTAGCACATATTTGTAAACTAAATGAGTACGTTCCGTTGACAGGCGCAGTGAAGATTCCAGTAGATATATTATAAGCATTTCCTTCATTAAGAAGAGTAGAGCCAAATATAATAGTGTTTCCAGTGTCAGGATTTTTGTTTGTTATATCTTTGGCATTAAATACTATATTTGGACCTGTAAAACATAATTTGTCACAAACGTTTGGAAAGAAATACCAATATTATGTATTGAATAATATGAATTACTTTTATAATTTTGATCACTGGTGTACTGTATAATCACAAAAATACATGAATTATTATAAAAGTGATGAAACGCAGAAAGGCAAGAATAACTTTCATCAGCACATTACGAATAAGAATACCCTGAGAGAACTTAAGTGCATATCATTTTAAGGAACGATATTATCCATTTAGTTATATGCTTTCAACAAGCTGGCACCTTCGTTTTTTTCTGAAATTGTTCGACTTTTGTAACATTGCAAATCACAATCTATCACAATCTTACATCTTAGACACATTAGTCAAATTAGTAATAATGATATTATGAATAAAAGACATGTTATGATGGCGGCATAGCCAACCGAATAGTAACCTTCGTATCGCTATCCGTGTAGGTTCAAACCCCGTCAGAGGCGAGCCACTGTTTCCTTGTGCAAGAAATTTTACACTCATTGCTCAGTACTTGTTAGTTCTAGCAGTGTGTTTGCAATAAAATATAGAAAAATAGGTGTTTGTCATATTCTCAAGCCAATTCAGGAATGAAAATAACTGTTATCATTCTATTGCTTATCAACGTTATTTAAATGTTATCACATACTACAATTGCTTTTCCTACAGGAAACAACTTCTATAGGATCTCCATCACAATATTTTCCCAGAGGCGAGGGTGCCGGATTTGTGCAGGTACGTGATCTAGACTTTAACCCGTCCCCACACGTCACTGAACAGGTGCTCCATTGTCCCCAGTCAGTCCAACCACCATCTTAAATACCAAACTTCTTTTATATGAAAATCATCTCTACAATTTTGTTGTCTCTTTAATGTTGAGAAATAAACGATTGTGATAAATTTCAAAGATTTTAATTTAAAAGGATTGGAAAGGGTG